GTGCCTGCTATGTAGCATAGCTCAAAGATAATTCTTGCGTGAAGTGGTGTAATTTTAAAATGCTGAAAGGGAATTTAGCATGTGTTAATGAGCCCTAATGGGTGATCATTCCAGTTTTAAGTGTTCTTAAAATAATCTAATTGTAATGTATAATCTCACCCTAAATAACTGTAGTCTGTAGTCTCTGTGGAATTATTTGATTTCAAACCTAATCAATCTTTTTTTTCCATTAAAAGCAAGGAAGGTAGAAAAGAATAGCATTTTTGTAACCCTTTTTATAAGAAGTCTGGTGTTGTAAAACTGTAAAACCTAATCTAGACAAAGGAAATATGCCCCAAATGGCAGAGTTGCCTAACTTTTAAATTGTAGATTGATTTATCCTTACTGGATTACATGTAGGTTGCATGTTCTAAATGTCTACTTTGAAAAATTACTTTCTGTTCTCTTTTGCTCCTCAGTGTTGAGAAATGATTCATTCCTTTATTTTAGCTTGCAGAAATAAATTAATTATTCTACATAACCTCTGTGAAAGCATATACTTTATATAATGTCTTTGAATATAACAACCAATACTATAATTATATTGGCAAAGCTGTATTACATGATTGGATGGGGTTTAGTGTTCTCACTTCTTCCAGTTTATCAAAAGCTTTACATTATTTGGTATATTTCTGAAAGCTCTCGGTCCTGGAATCGTAGGATTTTGGTGATGTATATGTGCTTTCATTTTTAAAAAGTGTTTAAGAGTTATAAATAAAAGCTTGAAATTCTAAACCTATGAAGGCTTAAAAAGAAGGCACACAAAATGCCTCAGCTGTTGACAATTGTTTCTTTATATATCTGATGTGGACCTAATTTGCTACATATGTATCCATAGCTTCCATATTCAGTTCTTCAGAGCATTCTACAAATTCTCAGCATGTTACAGGGTTGTTGATTGTAGCGGTGTTAGTCTAAGGACATAGGCAAACAAGGTTCTTTGGATAGATGTGATATATTTTATTAAACCAACTAAATAGTTGGAAAAATTGTTCTTTGTAAGCTTTCTGGCACAAACACCCATCTTCAGGAAAGGAGGTGACTCTCCTTATGCCTGAAGAAGGGTATTTGTGCCCAACAGCTTGCAAAGAACAAATTTTCCAGCTTGTTGTTGGCTTGAAAATGGTATTTAAAGGTCTGTTTCTTGGGAATTGGCTTATAGGTATAGATATATGCATTATAAGGGTTCAAGATGGGCAGCAGGGGTTAACTAATTTGTAAAAGCCTGTGTTTCACACATAGAGTTCCATATAGCCCCTGGAAGCAGACAGGCTGGCTCTCTAGCACAACAAGGCCAATGGATGGACACAGCCTAAGAATTGCGGGGGGGCATGCCATAACATGAGATTACAGCCTTCAAGGAGACAGGTTGTTTAACACAACAAGGACACGAAGCCTGGGAACCAAGGAAGTATGTACCATACTGTCCCATAATACGAGATAAGTGACACCAGCTACAAGGCCCCAGAGCAGCTGGGGTGGAGGGGGAGAGAGGGACCCGAGTCCCAGTTTTAGGGAAACCAATCAAATTAAGAGAAGGCCCAAAAAGCTACGTGGATATGTGACCACAGAAAGACAACCGACCACAGATAACCACAAATAAAGAGTCATCAGGAGTCATCAAGGGAGAAGGAGAATACAAAAGCAGAGACTTGAGATAAACAAAGAGTTCCTCCCTGTTCCTTTGTCTCATCCCTCCTTCTCTTCTTTCCTGCCCCTCCCCATCTTGCTCCCTGAGAGGGGTCCCTATCCCCATCCCCGTCCCTGTCCCCCTGCCCCGGGAAGGGTCCCTGAGGCCACCGTGAACATAGGGCACATACCAACAGCCCGTGTCATCCACCCCACTGGAGGGTGCCTGTGGGCCTCGGCATACCAAGTCCAGACTGCTGACACCTAAGAGAAAGAGCCTCAGAATGGAGCCTGCATCCTGACCAGATGTACTTTGACTCCGATGACAGCCCTGGGATTGGTAGATATAGAATTGTTTCATTGTTTGTACTGATTTTTTTGTTCTTATTCTGTATCAGTAAACTCACCTATTATCACCTGCCAGGTGTTGTGGTCAGTCTGAGAGTTGTGTTGGCCCAGAACAAAGGTATAGGGGCTAGGTCCAAATCCAGTGCCAACAGTTGTAGGCACTTCAAATAAATAATAAGGTACTCATATTACTTTATATAAGTAACGCATTTGCTTTGCCTGAATGACAAAAAAAATAGCCATGCTCTCTGGTCAGTGGAAGCCTGAAAAAAGCAGTCCAATATCCATAAGCCATATGATCCAATTCTGTATGAAAAATAAAAGTCAGCTAAAATTATGGCAGATTATATAAGTTATCATAAGCTATAAAAAACTCTATCCTTAAAGACAGAGGGTTTTTTACAAGGAATTCAGGCTCTGTTACAAGGTCATGTTTGCCCAGTCCTATGTTATTTATACTGTAATGTTCTCCAGTCCATAATTGCTTTAAAACGATTAAGAAATGGTATAAAGTGGTATTTAAAGAAGTGATTCATTCGTGTTGTGGGTGACCCTTACATTACATGTCAAGAATCTTTATGAAAAGCATGCTCCCGTGTACATGAATTTTTTCACAAATATATGTTAATTTCCATTCTCCAGGTTACACCTTGCTGCTGTGTTGTCAAGTTATATCAGTCACATTGCATTGCATTTCATATCATCCTGTAAAATGACCCTTTTACAATTCCATTTGGATGTTAGACAAACAGAAGATAAGAGAACCATGGCCTCCAAGCACATGGAATCTACAGTGATTAGCCAGGGAGGTGTCACCTCTTTTCATTTACATATCCATAATGCAAAACTTGTATTGCCTCTTGGGTCCATTTGATACAGAATTTCAAAGGTTAGCCTGGAAGCTTATCTTGACAATTTTGATTGAATATTTATCTTACCTAGGAGGAGGGGATGCAATGCATTCTACCCCTACCTCTTTTGGAGCTGGGAAAGAACAGAACTATGTGAGAAGTGATTGAAAAAAAACTCCAACAAAAGAGTGCAGTGTTAGATATAAAGGCATTTTGGCTCAAGAAAAGTGGACATGGATGCCTCCAAAATCTCCCAAGTACACCTGCTATTAGATGTAGCATTGTGATGTTTTAACATATTGCTGCTTGTTAAGTTTGTTTTTATAAATTTGATATACATCTTAGCCAGCCATTGTTTGAATATTACACCAACCATGTCAGATCCAGGACCGATTGTAAAGTTAAATTAAATTTCATAATTAATGTTAATTTTTTCCCCTAATAAAGAGTGTGGAATGCTCAAGAGCAGATGATTTTGCTTCCACACAAGAGAGCAATTCCTACTCATGTCTTTAATCCATGGCAATCCATAAGGTAAATATTGCAGAGAAACAAATAATTTTGGAAGTGTTAGAAGATGTCTACATCATAAACTGGCAGATTTTAAATCTACAAAGAACCATTTTATTACGAAATCTGACTTTCTGCATAACACAGGCCATGTAATTTCGCCTGTACTCTAAGTGAGTTATAATTTACTATATCCCTTGGCAATATATTCCAATGATTAATTATTCTCATTTCAAAACACTGGCATCCAATTTCCAGTTCAACTCTGCTGACTTAACACTCTAACTTCTGGCCTTGTGTTTGGTAAAGTAAAGAGCTTATTAACATCAGATCTCATCTCCCTGTGTAAATGTTATATTTAAAGGCTGCGGTCAAATCATCTCTTTGAATTCCTTCAGTCCCTCATTATAAGTGGTGCTTAACAAACTACAACTGACATCAGTGTGACTACCTTATGGAATAAGGTACATCAACATGAGCAAAGGTGCCAAAATCAAAGAAGAGCTCAGAAAAGAAGGATGTATGGATTCAATTTATCATTCACAGTATAATCATACTTCCACTGAATGCACCAGTGAAATCTACATATGTGAATTGAGGACATGATATAGCCTCAAGCTTGTTCTGTCATGAAATGAAGTTAAGAAATTCCCCTGCAATAAGTTTTTAAACCCATCATATACCCAAAACTAATCACAGTACAATAATGCATCCAGCTGAGTACCCCCAAGCAAGCTGTCATAAATATGAAACACGGTACATTGTTCGCCCTTTATATTAAGGTTGGTGCTCTATTTTTTGTTTTGTGTATTGCAATTCACCGACCTGCCGACAAGTCTTATCTAGTTAATTGCTATACAGAAATGGTTCTTATATTAAATTTAAAACACAGAAAATGCTGTTATAATGTGCTATTAAGGGAAACATCTTTTGTCCTAACATATATTGTTCTTACTGCTTCTAGTTATTTGCTTTAATTGTGCTGGATCTCTCTACAGTGCTAGTATTAATACTGCACTATTGTCAATATGCCTTACAAGCATTACTTGATCCTCTTAATTGCCCTGGAAGGTAAGAAAATGTTATTTCAGTTTTCCCCAGAGGAGAAAATAAGACTGAAGTTAAATGCCATCCCAATGTCACACAGTGGGTCACTCAGGACTGAAATGAGACCACACCTCTCTTTCATACGGTGCTGTATTTTGCATATTTTATATAATTTTAGCACAAAATCTGAAGCAAGAAAACTTTGTTACATCAGAAAGGTTTATGCATGTGTGTGGCCCTGTGTGTTTCTGAGTGCACATGTGTGATTTAAGGGAGAAAGTTTAAAATTTAAAACATACATAAAACCAGCAAATGTCAGTGCCTATATAAGAAATGATCACATCAAACAATTGCACAATAAATTGCCAGGCACAAAAATAGAATGGTATTAAAAAAAAATGTTTCAGACATATGACAGCACAGGATTTCAACCAGCTACATGGTAGGGATGCTAAAAGTAGCCTGGGATAACATAAAATTGTGTTGACACAGGACTTCCTCTGGCTCTTGTCTTCTTCCACAGCCTCTTGCTTAATTTCCTTTATCAGTTACAATAAATACAAATTAAAAACATACCTTAATTGTACTGGTGTGAGCTCCTGGATATTCTTTTTCCTCTAGGGTTGACCAGCGCTGTATAAATTTTGACACCAACGGATCATCATAGTCTACTATCTGAAATCCTGAGACATTAGCTCCTCCAAACTGAATTTTTGATAGATCTCCATCAGTAAATCCCTGGGCACAGAAAACATTTATGCCATTTTTCAGCACTGTTATCACTATTGTCAATATTACATACAAGTAAGAAGTCACCATACCATTTTTACTCCAGAAATGTAGGCCAACATTTTCCTCACACAGGGTTTTCAATTTAAATCTTGGATTCTTATCTCCAGTGTTGTGGGCCAGCTATGCCTGGAAATGCTGGGAAGTGATCATGTTGCTTTCTTGACATTTCCATTTACTAATGTGCTGAAGTGAGAGATCTTTGTAATAATGAACACTTGTTTGCAATCTTATTTCTTTCAGTGGGAGTACTCATATGGGTATCCTGCCTCATTATCATGACAAGCGATTACATACATGGTTTAGCTCTGAGCAGGGAGAGTGAGCATGCCAAATTACTTTCTTACTGTAGATACCATTGCAGACCAGATGTGAGAAGACTCTTACAACCCACCCTGGAACAAAGAAATTTTGGTGACTTCAACTTTCTTATTCTCTCATAGAATAAAAGCTCTTCTAACCTACTGGAAGAGTCAAATCATTTAAAGATATTATTAGAGACAAATCTATTGACAGATTAATGAGGACAGGTCTCCACTAATACATGAAACTGAATGTTTCTCTGCTTCATGTATAACGAATATATAAAAAGAGAAAATAGATGACAATGAAATGTCACTTATTCAAATTCAAAGAGGTATGTTAAATTAGTTTTGATAAAGGAGGTAATCTACAGGGAGGTGGCTTTCAGTTTACTTGGAATCTGGTACAACCAGACATGTCCTTATTTTCATTTGGAAAAACAATAGCTCCTTTTATAAATTTATTTACTCTGACCTAAGAAAAGTCTGGAGCAGGCCACAGAGAGGGGCAGAGCTGTGAAAGAGCCTGAAAGTAAATGACTTTATATGGATGAAAAGGCTAATGAAAGGATTCAAAGAAGTGGCCAGAATGACAGGCAAGTAACAGAGGATGATCTCAGCAGCTGCACTTTGAATGGACCAACAGGGGAGACTAGGGTGATGTGACTATCAGAAAGAGAAGAGGAGGTTATAGTAACAAAGACAAAAGATGATGAGGTCTTGAATAAGTTTTCTCTGCCTTCTAAGAATATTATTTGCTATTCCTCAGGTATTATAACAAAGCAGAGTTAAGGTAGATTGGGTACATTACTGGTGAATTTCCATATCTTCCATACGTATTTTAATTTCTCATAAACTGAACTCTGAGTGAATTCCACATGCATTTCATGTATGATTTTTGTAATCATAAATTAATCCTCAATTCATTTTATAGATGTTTATCTTCAACTTAATTTTTACTTAACTACTTTCTTGAGGAAACTCGTAACATGGATCTGCCTCCCTAAAACCCATAGAGTTGTTCAGAGTTCACAAGGGAGTCTCTAACAGAGTAAGAATATCAGTCCCATTCTTATTCTTAGGAACTTGACAGCCGCCCACAAGCCTTAGGCAGTGACAGCTCTCAGCCCCCGTTCTTTCAGGCCTTCCTGGCTTTTCAAACCTTGACAAGCCTAAGGAGTTCCATCAAAGAAGGATGAACCTATGAAGACCATGAGAAGACAGGGAAGATGATGAGCCTTGCAAAATTCACTGTGCATTCTCTTTCCCTACTGAGCTCAGGAGAATCACTGGATGGGGGATATTGCTTACAATCTCCTTTCTCCCAATCCCTCAGCACTTTCCCAAATCCTCAATATTATTTTAGTAACTTCTGTACACTGTCACTTGTGTGTGTGTTTGCAGAATGTCTATTGATTTCAACAGGAGTTTGTAGAGTGAGAACTGAGATTTGACCCTGCTCCCTCTGAGCCTGTGGAAATAAGGCTAGTTCTAAGGTCAACACTGAAGGACTTCACCACACCTGATGAAAAAGATGATGTACGAGTATGTATTTATTTATTATTCAGTTATATGACTTCAATAAATCTGTTTTGCTTTTCATGATCCATTGCTGTCAGATCAACATAAATAACTATGCTAATTAATTTAAATTGAAACCCTGATTTGAGACACTTAACTTGAAGTACACCCAGTATGTTTTCATAATGAATAGACAAAGATGCAGCAACACTAGCCACTATGATCAAAAGCTGTCACAATTACTATGCTAATGCATTTTAGCTACTGCATACCATATAATAATATTGCTGCTCATTGAGGATAGCATTACTTACTGGTATGTGCATTACTATGGGAATCATTCAACCTTATGCATATTAGTATCAATATGCTGAAATGAACCTGTACCACTTCTTTATTTTCTGTCCTTTGAGCTCAAGAAGTGATTTGAAATGAAACATGAACATTTTATAGTTCTTCACATTTCCCAGCATGTGGATTCTTTTACTCTTAAAAAATTAAAAATGAAGTTCATGTTATTAAACATATTTCCACATTTCTCTGCTTTCCAAGAGATCTTAAATAGGTGGCTCACTGTTAAACTAACGCCATTTTAGATCATTCTAGGTCACATTAAGGGTCCACTGAAAAACAAATCATACGCAAGTATCTTCCTTCACTGGTATGTGTTAGGGTAACGATATGAATTTTGGGAAGTACTGAGTGTGCAGCTGAATGAAGGCTTTTTCCTGTGCCTAATCAAAAAGCTGCTGGTCACAAGATTGGATTATATATTAAGAGGTAACCTCAGCAAAAGCTGGTGGTCACAAGGCTAGCTGATATATTAAAAGCAACTAACTTAGCAAATGCTTAAGTAAGCAGATTCTTAACAAAAGGATAGGGTTCGAAGTGCGTGATGCGTTAAGCAACTAGTGTCAAAAGACAAAAGCAAAGACACAGCCTTGGAGATGGAGAAGTCAGCAAGAAAACCAGCAAGAACCAGCGAGAAACTGCAAAATGACCAAAAGAAGATAGGGGTCAAAAGTTTTACGCATGCGCTCTTAGCAGAGAGGCATGTAAATGAATGAAATATGTCAGCAATACCATGCTAAAGAAGCAAAGAGTAAACAGAGGTGGAGCTTGCGATAGGAGGAGAAATGGGTGGAACAAAAGGAAAGTTATAGGCAGGTTAAATGTTAATATGTATGAACCAAGGTATAAATATTGGAAAGAACTGTTGTTCAGGGCTACTCCTCATATTCTGTCGGTGAGGGAACTCGCCCAAAGCTGTCTCCATTCTGAATAAAGCTGTTGTGAGCAATGTGTGCTGGTGTTTTCTTCCTGCTCTGCTCTGGCTAATGAGCAACTGGATCCATGGGTAATTGGACCATCGTCTCCCTAGCTGTTGAGCGCTGCATGGAGTCAGGGTCTAATAGTATGAATCCAATAGGAGGTAGGTCAGGAATAGGAAGTGAGCATGACTTCACAGAACCCTTATAGGATCATAGGGAACAGAATGTAAGTTAGACCCCATTACAGATCTGCTGTAACTTACCTTATTTCTAAACAGCCACCAGAAAATCAGGCAACGATATTGATCCAGTCTTTCCTGCCCACATGCAGGGGGGCTGGACTCGATGATCTGTAAAGTCCCTTCCAGCCCCTAACAATTATGATACTATGAAAATAATTTAAAGCCACCCCATCCCAAAGCTCTGTTTTGGCCCCATGCTAAGGGGTGAAGTAACTGCCTTTACTTCAAACCCTTTCTTCAAAGCCCTTGAGCCCATTAATCAGTTGGTGTAAATCAGCAAAGCATTACAGGCTTAAGATTTATGTACCCCAGTGAGAAACTGGCCATTCATCTTAAGAAATGAAAAATAGCAGTTATAATACTAATAACCTTGAAATGGTTTCCAGGGTTTGCTGAACTCTGCCTCTTAGCAACACAAATAATTATAATGTCTGACTCCCCATGTTCAAGAAAGATTAATTCAAACTGGAGCAGGTGCAGAGAATGACTACAACATGATGAGAAGAATGGACAACTTGTTCCCATCCTTACTAGAAGAAAATAAAAGAGCTTGGCTTGGTTCATCTACTACAGTGAAGGCAGAGAAGGAGCATGATTGTTTTCTATACATCTGAAGAAGGATAAGCATTCATGGACAGGAGCTTGCTTCAGCAGATGTTCAGAAAACAATCATGGCCCCTCTCTGCCTTCACTGTAGTAGATGAGACAAGCCAAGCTCCTCTTGTAAGGTAGGTTTTCCATTCTCATCATGTAAGGTAAGTTGTCCATTCTCATCATGATAGCTATGTAGAAGTATATAAATATATATTTTGTTTAGTCTATAAGGTGCAAATCTACCCCATCATCTACTTAACTTCAGACTAACATGGCTTACTACATCTCTGTTTTCTATACATAGTTTGGGAGATAAACAAAGGAGAGGATGAAGAGCTATTTAAGCTAATAGAGAATGTTGACACAACAGTATATAAATTGGTCACAGATAAATTGAGCAACTTAATGGTATGAAAATCACTTACCAGATTCGCAATGATGTAATGGTAACCTTTTACGTGCTTACCAATTGTAATAACCTACAAAAGAAAAGAGACAGCTCCTGGTTAATTGGAAACATACAAATACTACATGAGTTTACACTCAAAACTAATACATATGATCAGATTTAAATTCTATCCATGGAGTTTTATTCATCCATATTGAGGTTGTTTGGAGTGTGGGCTTCCATTTCCTATGAATGTCCACATCCTCAGCTGGTATAAATTAGCTCCATTAAAGATAACATTCCAAGGTATGCCAAGGTACATAGTACTTTAAAGGATTAGACGGTCCTTCTAGGCTCCTGGTCAAGGGTCAGTCTACACCAGAACCAGGCAAAACCTGACCCATAGGCTGGATCAGGCCTATGATGGACTCCATTTCCCAGCAGTCCCTGACCATGTCACTCCAGTCAGTTTCCATGGAGGCCACCGGATTGACAGGGCCATAACAGTGTGGGGCCAGGGCCTCCATGGAGACCAACCACAGCTGGGCAGGGAGCTGCTCCAGGGCTGGGGCTGGGATCTTGCAGTGATGACAGCACGGGCCAGAGCCAAGGCAGAGCTGTGATGAGCTGCCTGCACGCCCTGGGCACTCAGGCACTGGATCTCATCTCTGCCCCATCTCTGGCCCACACTGTCACTGCTGCAACATCCCAGCCCTGGCCCTGACCCTGGCCCTGGAGCAGCTCCCCACCCAGCCTTCACCCCTGCCAGTGCTGCTTGGGCTGGTCTCCGTGAAGGACCTGGCCCCACACTGTCATGACACCATTGATCCTGGGATCTCCATGGAAACCGGCCGGAACAAAACAGGCAGGTGCTCCTGGGAATGGAGCCCAGCCCCTGGCCAGATCCACCATTTTGCCCACCCTGGTCTACACCCTGCACTGTTTTAATAGTATCCCCCCCAAAAGATGCCATGTTTTGAAACCATCTGCCCTATGTTCTTTCCTGGCTTCCCCCTCAGTTAATTGCTTTTCAATACCAACAATAAATATGTGCCACCTTCCCCCAAAGCTCTGTTCTGAGCTGGGTCAGATGTCCTGGACATCTGAATAGTGTGGTAAGGGAAAGGGAAGCAAAAGTTCTGCCCATCTTTTGTTATTCTGCCCACCTCCTAACTACCTACTCTGCAGAGAAACTGGGTTTTTATGCACCCACTCCTTCACCCTCCCTCACACATCACTGAACCAAAAGCAAAGAATCTGCTTCTTTGCCTGGGAGTCCAGTGGTTTAATAATCCTGAATGAAACTTAATCAGCTAGTTATCCGGAGACGTGAATTCTCATATTTTCTATAGATGCACAGTCATTACTGCAATCTATTGTATAAGCACACATTGTACTGACAAAAGGACACAAAGTAGAGCATGGAATTGGTAATACCATTCTCTGTTCAAAAATTGTGCTGTATGCGGTGTTGAAGAAATATTCACATATTAATGTCCCAGAATTACAGAGCATACCGTCAGATCTCTTCTTCTGAGAAAAAGAACAAATAGCTTCACAGACCCACCTTGACTTTTAATCTAGTAAGACAAAATGTAGGTTTCTAATATTTGGAATGGTTGGAGCCCTCCTGTCTTTTTATGGATTTGAAGGACATTTAGACTAAAACCACTTCCCTTTGCAATTACTCAGATGCTTAATACTTGAGATCATCTGAAATGTTTTTGCTACCAGTTTCATGATTTGAAGCAATATGGCTGAAAGCAAGATATTCAAAATGCAGCCTTCAGATCTAGAATTCACTTTCCCTACTAGCTTGACCCAGCCTCAATCTCTTGGCAACCAGAATGTAGTAATTATAGGCTTATATCTTCCGAGATCTTTTTTGTGATTATGTATGCACATACACATGTGTGGGTGAGCATTAATATAAGAAATGCTTTTGTCGACAATGGCCTGTATGAATACTGCAACACTTTTAAAAAAATCTCTACGTATGCTAGGGATCCTTGTGTTAGACACTTTTATAAATAAAATAAAATAAATTTCATGTGTTATTTTTTTGAATATTATATTTTAAATAAAGAAAAACCCCTTGCTCATAACATATTTAAACAGGTAAATATAAAATGTTATGTTTTCTTGAACTCGATAACATGATATTCAAAAATGAAAGTACCAATTGCAACTTCACCTATTGCATATAGTGTCAGACTTTTGTTTGTTAGAAACTTTGGCTTCATTTATCTATTCAATATTCTGTGTAAAATACATTATTTTCACATTTTAGCATGTGTAATTTAAATGATTAGTGCTTGTAACTATATTTATATTTGTTCATAGTGGTTTTAGATTATACAGATTAATGTACCATACAAATTATAATTTTTTTCTTTAATTAATTGAATTGTGAACTACCTGGAATAGCAGATAAAAAATTAAAGTTTGGAAATTGATAATAATCAAAATTGTATATAACAATTATAGGGCCCTCAGGGGAAAAAAAAGAACACAGGAAAAATGATATTGCCAAAAAGCTGTCATATCTGTTCCGAATGGGAAACAAATTATCGTAGAATAAAAGATTTAGAAAGGGCTTCCAGGTTATCTGGTCAAATCCCCTGCACATGCAGGATTCAGTATTTATAATCCTTAATTACAGAATATTCTTAAACTTAAACTATAGAACATGAAGTAGATTTATATGACTAGGACTTTTTGTTTGTTTTGGAGGCAATTTTTTAAAAGATTTATTTTATAAATCTAAGGATTCATGAACAGCTAATTAAATTATACCAGAAAATCTCGTGGCTTTTGGATATTGTATATTCATGATATTTATATCTTTTACTTGATTTGTTTTCCACTGTAGCTGTCATGATATTTGCATCACTGCAAGTAATGAAGTCACTGAATGTAATGCCTTATCAGCCTGCAGCAGTGACTTCAATGGGCATAGTCAGGGGTTTCAAATTAGATGTGGCCTATAATTGGGATATATCCTTGAGACCTATTCTGGAGCCAAGGACTATTCACAGAAATAACTTCTGCATTTGGATGGAAATATTTGCCAGATCAGAGACTTCAAAGTGACGTCAACATGTTCTAGCACACTGGTTTTTAAGGAAGTCATCTGATCAGTACTAAAGTCACCCAAACCCTCCTGGTGAAACTGGAAGCTCTCCTCTCCATTCCTGCTTCTGGCAGGTACGTATGTGGGATGATTCACTTTTGCCATAGAACAAAACAGAATTTCAAACTGTATTCAAGCTACTATTCATAAATTGTAAGACTAAAAATGAATTTATAAAACAAGTGGTAGGGTTGGAGTGTTGTTGTAGCCACGACAGTCCTGAAGAAAGTGTTTGTGCACAGACGCTTGTTCAGTGTTTATCTCTGTATAAAGTCATAGAATTTAATTCAGTTGATCCTGTTTTGAGTCCTATACATGAAAACTTACTTACACCGAGACAGCTACTTGTCTTAGACTATTTAAAATTACTTAAAACCCATTGGTTATTAAATATTTTATGCAATAAAATAGCAACTGGTAATGATAAATGATAGGTGCATTTCTTCTGTAATTGCTGCTTTAAGGAAATTCTATAAGGAATTTCATTTAGACTGAATGTATTAGTTATTCTATATTACCATATTTACCTAGATCCAAAATGACTTTGAATTTAAGATGACTCCCAAAATAATTAGATTCTAAACATGGAAAATGACAAGATTATTATAAGTTTCCACGTCTAGAATCTAATTCATAGATGTCTGTGTCAGAAGGGACCTCAGTAGATCGAGTCTGACTCCCTTCCCTGGGTAGGAAAGAGCACCGGGGTCAGATGACCCCAGCCAGGTGCATGTCTAGCCTCCTCTTAAAGACCCCCAAGATAGGTGAGAGCACCACCTCCCTTGGAAGCCCATTTCAGATTCTGGCAACCCTTACCATAAAGAAGCTCTTCTAGCCTAAATCTGCACTCTCTCAGTTTGTGGCCTTTGTTCCTAGTTACTCCAAGGGGTGCCCTGGTAAACAGAGCATCTTCTATTCCTTGTTGGCCCCACCCTTATGAATTTGTAGGCAGCCACAAGATCTCCTCTCAGCTTTCTCTTGTGGACACTGAAGAGATCCAGGTCTCTCAATTATTACAATAAATTATGGAAGGCTCATTTATATGCACTGCTTCTACCACTGCAGTGGGAAAGCAGCAGCAGCAGCAGAAACAAGCACATAAGCAATAGGAGAGGGGAAAGAAGTTGGGGTACAAATGACACGGGGAACAGGCAGCCTCACCCCTATCCCCTGCCTCCCCTGTACCTTGCCTCCATATGTCTGTGCTCCCCATCACCTGCCACTGCATCACTTACTTCCTCATTACTGCCTCCTGGCCAGTAGACCTCCCACCTATCCCCAACCCCTTGGCACCCCTGCCCCCGATGCCCCCCCCACTTGCCACCATGCCTGCCCCTCTTTCTGCTGCTGTCCCCAGCTTATCTAGGTGCAAGGACAGCCCTAGTGCTGCTTCTAACCCACTTCTGCCCCATGATGAATGGAGCAGCTGTGCAAGGAGCTAAGCTCAGTCAGGGAACATGGGAGCAGTATACAGGCTCCTCCTTTCAGCTCCTGCTCATTGCCCATCTCCCCTTCCCCTCAATTCCATCTCCCCTGCTGACTCAGAGAAGATGCTGGAAGGAGGAACTGGTGTGCTGCCACAGGTACTCCTTACAGTGCAGAGCAGGAGCAGGTCAGAAGTGGCTCTGGGGCTCCCCACATGCTGGTGTCACCTGGGAATCAGACTGCTCCAGCTGGGAGCAGTGGGGAGCAGCTGTGCAGGGAGCCTAGCTGTGCTAAGGACAGCAGCAGCAGCAGGCAGATTCTACCTTCCAGAGTCTGGTCCCTGCCCCTGTCTCCCTCTGTGGCAGAAAGGCAGACAGGGAGAAAGGAACTTGCATGCCACTGCTGTTATTCCCAGCCAAGACAGGCCCCCTGCACAGCCATTCCTCATAGTTGCCAGGTGGAGTGATCTGTAGACAGATACAGAGAGCACCCCAGAACTGCTCCTGCCCTCAGCTGCAAGGAGCAGCTGTGGC